CAAGGCAACCTATATAGGGGTTCGTACCCCCGCAACAGACACGCATAGATATCCATGCAACTGCCCTCTCCTAGCGACTTGCCGGGGGAAAGTGCTCCATGTATTTTCATCCATATCCACCCAATATACCAAAGTAGGTGTAGGGTTTAATGCTTCTCAGTGTCCTGAACCCTGGTAAAACCATGGCGCCTCCTGTTGTGCTTGCTCTTCGCGCCAACTGACCCCCAGCCGAACCAACAAAGGAGCAGCCCTGCTCCATAGATCGCCGGCTACACGCCGACACATGAATATAACATTGGTTTAAGCCTCCCCCAAGCTTGTGCAATACTTTCTCCTTCACGAGGCCAAAAATTATATATATATATATATATATATATATATATAAAATTCCAATCACGATGAACTAGATGCATAGGATAAAACTTTTGATGAAATTCCAATTTCAATCGATTCTAGTACCAAGCTCCAATATCGTCACATAGCTTATACCATGTCAATGCTTTACCCCCAAAAGATAAAGGGAAAACCTTCTTATTAACCTCATCTCTGGGTAAACCTGCCAAATTATATAATCCACAAACTTTATCCACATAGATTAGGTGCATATTATGATGTAGTGTTCCATCTCCTGCATAAGGATTAGCTAGCAGTTTCTCTATCATACCCGAAGGAATCTCATAACCAATATTTTCAGTACATGTAGTAGTTTGAGGAGCAACTCTTTGTGTTTCCCGTCGAGGTGAAGATACCCTGAACAAACCCCTCAATGGATGGTTTTCCATAGTAACAAGTGCAAGTAAATTTCAGCATGTAATATAAAATTTTCCTTACCAAATTCCACTTATCCCAAGGTGCTTTGCTCCCCGGCAATAGCGCCACATCAACTCTGCGTTAGAAGATACTCCAATGGAGATCCAAGGGGTGAGTGATGACCCACAAGTATATGTGATCCCTTTCGGTAAGTGAGAGTGTCGAACCCAACGAGGAGTAGAAGGAAATGACAAGCGGTTTTTAGCAAGGTAATTTCTGCAGGCACTGAAATTGTCGGTAACAGGTAGTTTGATAGCAAGATAATTCATAACAAGTAATATATAGCAATATAGTAAAATTAGGTGCATCAAGGTAGCCCAATCCTTTTTGTAGCAAAAGAGGGACCGGAACAGTCTCTTATAGTAAGCAAAATGATCTTGAGGACACACGGGTATTTCATCTAGTCACTTTCATCATGTTTGTTTGGTTTGCGTTCGCTACTTTGATAATATGATATGTGGGTGGACCGGTTCTTGGGTGTTGTTCATACTTGAACAAGCCTCTCACTGATGATTAACCCTCTTGCTAGCATCCGCAACTACGAAAGAAGAATTAAGATAAAATCTAACCATAGCATTAAATATATGGATCCAAATCTGCCCCTTACAGAACAACACATAAACTAGGGTTTCAGCTCCTGTCACTCTAGTAACCCATCATCTAATAACTACTCCACAATGCATTCCCTTAGCCCCAAAGATGGCGTAGTGTCATGTAGTCGACGTTTACATAACACCACTAAGGGAATCACAACATACATATCATCAAACTATCGAACGAATATCAAATTCACATGATTACTTGTAACAAGACTTCTCCCATGTCCCCAAGAACAAAAGTAACTACTCACAAAACATATTCATGCTCAAGATCAGAGGGGTATTAAATAGCATAATAGATGTGAACATATAATCTTCCACCAAATAAACCATCTACCATCAACTACGAGATGTAATCAACACTACTAGTCACCCACATGTACCAATCCGAGGTTCGATACAAAGATTGAACACAAGAGATGAACTAGGGTTTTGAGATGAGATGGTGTTTTTGAAGATGTTGATGAAGATTGGCCCTCCCATGATGAGAGGGTTGTTGGTGATGACGATGGCTTCAATTTCCCCCTCCCGGAGGGAAGTATCCCCGGCGGAATCGCTGCGCCAGAGAGCAAACGTGCTCCTGCCCATGTTCCGCCTCAAGACGGCGGCGTTCCATCCCCAAAGTAATACCCTTATTTTTTTCTAGGCCAAATGACATTATATACCAGAAGATAGGCACCCGAGGCTGGCCAGGGGGCCCACAACCCACCAGGGCGCTCCAGGGAGTAGGCGCGCCCTGGTGCCTAGTGGGCACCTAGCTGGCCCCCTCTGTTATTTATTTTCTCCAATATTATTTATATATTCCAAAATAATTCTTCGTAAAATTTTAGCTCATTTGGAGATGTGTAGAGTAGGTATCTCTGACATAGCTTTTTTAGGTCCAGAATTCCAGCTACTTGCAATCTCCCTCTTTGTGGAAACCTAGCTTATTATGAGAGAAAAGGCATTAAATTACTCCACAAAGTGTTATATTGCATAAAAAACACTATAAATAACAGTAGGAAAACATGATGCAAAATGGACGTATCATTATCTATGAATAGTATAAGTCTCCAAGTAGTCCATCTTCACGAACGTGGTTATTCAAATAGATTCATAACCCTACATGGGTGTACTTCTTCACACACGTGTTCACTACTCACCACCATATACACATCATGTATTCAGAGACCTTCAAGCAGAAGCCTGGCAAGGGTGTCGGCCACAACCGTTAACCTCATAAGACTCTAATCCATATTTGTCACCTATATGAGGCTGAACCCACAATGGAAGTCCAGCCAAAGTTTCCATCACAACCCCAAACGATGTGTGCAGTGTTCCCAATCCCACCTTGCCGGATAGTACTACACTTGGTACACCGTGCCACGTGCGTAGCCATCCCTAGCCCACCCTGTCGGGTAGTGTCCGCTTGGTAAGACCAATAGCACAACCTAGAAACACCAGAAACTAGTTGCAACTCCTGGACAGAGATCGATGTACGTTAATAAGCTAAGAGGGGTCGAGCTACCGGAACCCAATGTGTGGTAGTAGCTAGTCTTGGATCACAAATACATAACTCAGTTCTGATGAGCGGTTTCAATGAGACAACCCACCATGCATGTACTCCTACATGGCCTCTCATCGCTACCTTTACAAAATTAGGTTCACACACTTGACTCTCATCATTAGGACATGAACACGACCATTCCAATTCATTGCCCAGATGGATCAGACCTGCCACAACTCTAAGCATAACAATCATAGCATGGATACAGTCACAACATGGCTCAACCAACTCCTAATCATGATAGTAAGGTTTAGCTATTTACTATAACAATGATAGGTCATGTAAAGGTATAGGTTCAACTATCGAAACAAGTAACAGCTGAATCGTTCTTGTCCTAATGCAATAAAAGATCGCGAGAGCGAGAGAGTGGGATTGTATCAAAATGATCAAGGGGATTTGCTTGTCTGGCAGGTCGAGAACGGAATACTGCTCCTCCAGTGGATACTCGAGCGTACCCTTAGGAACATGTCCTATCACGGGGAACAACACCGAAAAGGGTAAATCAATACACAAGAAGTGCAACAATATGATGCATGATTATGACATGGCAATATGCAGGTGTTTGAGCTAATGCAATTCGCACGGACGGTTCAATTAGCGAGCATGGGAAGGCTTGTGGAGGTTTAGCAATAAAAAGGGGATATATGCGTTCTCTCAAGCAGATAAGAACAAGACCCAGAGTTAAATGAAGTCCAATTGAACCAAAGGTCCAAATACGAGCTCCGTATGAAGCATTTAAATGTCATTTAGTTTATTTGACCTAAAATGTAGGTCTGAATTGCTCTAACATGCATGAAAATGTACAGATGAAGAGATTCAATTTTTCTGATAATTTTTCATATATAAACTATTTAATTCCGAGTTACGATTGATTTTATATGAATTTTTGAAGTTTACTTAAGAAAATTTCTGAAAATAAATAAATCATTTTAGATTTATTTAAAATTCAGAAAAGCTTCACGATATCAACATCATGTCAACTTTGCATCAGCAAGTCAACAAGGTCAAACCTGGCCGGTGGATCCCATTTGGTCATTGATACAGCGGCGAAAAATGTTTAAATGAAACCTAACCAAGGATTAACATGGCCGGGACCCACTGTAAGTGACTCTCGATGTTAATTAAGGGTGAGTAGCGCCTAATTAAGCAGGGACATGTCGGTCTGCCGGGGTTTGCACGCCGCGACCAAAACCCGGAGCGGAGTCCTGCGCGGAGTGGCTCGGGCTTCACCTACAAGAGGCGGTTTGCAGGGCGTGGCTGGTCCCGTTGGAGCTGGCACTCGGCCGCATCCAACGGAGGGCGTGTCGTCGGAGGGTGCTTCTAGCGTCGTCGGAGTACGTGTGGAGGTGTGTCTTCGATGGATCTCGTGGAATTCAGTCAGTGTTTGTCTTCGGTGGATCCGATTGGATCCGGTCTTTATTTGTTTGATGATTGTGTGTAGGTTGGATCCTTCTGATCTACGCTTTTCTTCAACGACGCGGTTGTTGTTGTGGTGTGCTGGTCCTATGGGGTTTTAGCACGACGACTTCCCGACTGTCTACAACAACAATGTTTGTCTGGATCCGATGAGGTAGGGGCGATGACGGCGGTTCGTCTTCGGTTCGTTGAGTGCTTCATAGTCATTTAGAATCTGGATGTAATTTTTTACTCCTGATGTTCATTGTACTGCCTTGAGATCGGAAGTTTTCTCGTAATCATTACAATGGGGACTAAACCCAAGTGAGGTAACAGAGATTTGGCCTACCATCAAATCATCAAAAAAGAAAGAAAAAAAAACAGATTTTATGGAGTCCCGTGAGGACTTTGCCTCCAACCATGATTCCTTCCTAGATTTGGCATCCGAAGAATTAGGAGGAGACGTATAGCTGTCGGAGTCCGGTTTTGACTTGCGTCTCTTTTCCATCTGGAATCGGGGAAAGCCCAGCCCCCCCTATATATATACGTCACGCGACGCCCTGTTCTCGACAGATCCGTGGTTGGAGAGCCTTGTGCCGCTTGTCGTCGTCAACCAGTAAACGAAGCGATCTAGCCTTACGACCCAGGCCATGGCTGACTTGGACTTGTCTACGCCTCTGTTGTCAGCGATGGATTTGGCCGAGGAGTCCAACGTGTCCGCGGCTTTCCCGCTGCTGGTGCTTGAGCCGCCGCCAGATTCAGATCGTTCGTCGTACAAGGTCTTCAGCTTGCCGGACCAGAAGCTTGAAGATGTCACTCCGTTCGTGTCGAGCAACAAAGCATTCTTGGAGACGCCGCAGGGCTGGGTATTGGTCCTGAGCTCCTCCGATTCCTCGTCAGAAGACGCAGGGACCCATCTCCTGAACCCTAAAGACGGATCAAGAGTCGAGCTTCCGACTCTCAAAGACGACGAGGTCCCATGGACGTGCAGGTGCGTCTTGTCCAACGTCGTGGTAGCGCCTGGCTGCAGCGTCCTAGTCTTCGACCATGCGAGCCCGGTGATGTGGTTCTGCCGCGTCGGCCAGGATCTCCGGTGGTCGCGCCACGGCTACGACATTGGCTGCTTGGACATCGCGGGCTCTCCTCCCACAAAGAGACACTTCGTCGACGTTGCCGCCGTTAATGGGAGGTTCTTCTTCTGCGAGTCCAATGACTCTCTCGGCACGCTCGACTTCCACGCCAACGACGCCTCGGAGAAGCCGGAGGTGCGGCTGGGCGCCATCGCCGTGCCCTGCGTCCACGTCCCGACGGGCTTTACGGCCACGTACGTTGTCGAGTCCTGCAACGACCTGTTCCTCGTCCATATCGCCTTCCACGGATTATGCGTCGACCGACCAGGGGAGCTCCGCGTCTATCGGATGGATTTCTCGGAGCCGCCGGCTTGGCGCAAGACGGACTGCATCGGGGATCGGGCTTTCATCCTCGGTAAATCCAATTTTGCAGCGTCCTGCTCTGCCAGCGGATGTGGACTCAAGCCCAACTGCGTCTACTGGTTGAATTGCCTCAGCTCAGAGAACAGTGATCTGCATGTCTTCGGCCTGAAGGACGGCTCATCAGAAATTGTCAAGCAGTTTGAGAATGTCGTGGGTCTCCGGAAATCCTGGTGGATCGTCCCTGTCGTTTCATAGTCGCTGCAATTTTCCATCATCTTTTTTTTCTCTGTTCATGTTGGTCATTTTTTGTTATTATTCTGTAAAAGTCTCCGCTGAAATAGAATGTGTTTTTTGTTTATAGTGTAACTATGTTACATTATACTTTGTTCTAAGAAATTCTATATTTTTTGTAATCTATAATAAATTTAATATATACAAAAGAATATTGTTTTGTTATTACAAAACCTAAATTCATTTGACACAAAGCAGCAGGAATAATGAATCAACTTCTAGATCACAGAGCCCCGCAACAAAACTTGCAAATCATGGGAGATATAGCTAAACATGGAACAAAGAGAGGAAGATGCCGGAGAGGAACTTTTGGTCTATGTGTTTATATACATCCTATATGAAAAAGTAATTTAGTACTTAAATAAAATGTCCACAAATTCTGAAAATATTTTTGAAATAAACTTTTGACCTTTCATTGCATTGCTAAAAAAAATCCATAAAAAGAAAAAAAATATGTCTTTTCAAAAAAGACAAAAAATTCGGTCGAAATAGTGTGAATAGTAACTATAGTAGCAAATAAAAAAAATTGGCCCTGAAGTCAACGCTGGTTTTCTATTCGTGAAAATTTACTAGCACAAATGCCCGTGCGTTGCAACGGGAGACGACTTGATCTGAATCGTAGTTCAGATCCAAATCGGTTCAGTGAGGGCGGTCGCGAAAGTCACCAAATGGGTTCAGACCGTCTTTTTCTGATCTTTTTTTGTCCCGCCAAAAAAGGCGTGAGAGGACGTTGCAGATGTCCAGGACTGCGGAGCTTTCCATCTCAAGGAGATCCCGGTTGTGGGAAACAACATTTCGAAAGAAAACGGATCCTCCCTCATTCTCCTGCAGATCTTGATAAGACGCTTGGAGAATAGTGAAAGAATCAGTTGCGTGAATATGGTCCAGATAGGAACGAAGCGCTTCATCGACCAAGTAGGGCTCGATCGGTAGATAAGGCCCTACTCTTTGATAAAGCACCACAAATTTACCTCTTTTATATGTTAGCGACTTTCTTCGGTTTCGTCCATGCAGTTTTCCGTCCACCTTTGTAATTGTTCACTACTTAATTAGCGCGTATAGGGCAACATATTCCTTTATTCTTTCCTTTAGCATTCTCTTCTTCTCGCGTCATCATCCTCATTCTCTGCTTATTGATTCACAAGCCAATTTATTGAGTCTATCGATAACCGGTAACTTCAAGACATATCTAAATTGTTGGTTTTGGTTCTAATAAGGAGGCGAGGTGGCACTATTTATTTAATGATAATAGGAAGAGCCGACTTAGTAAGTTGTATTATTTTTCAGACACAACACAACTTACGTTATGTAATTGCAATCGATCTACTCGGAGCATATGTTACAAAGAAAACACCAAGTGTTTTGTGCATTTTTTCTACTGCCCAATCAAAAAATAAATTGTGACAGGCCATGGCCCAAAAGCATGCCCAGCCCAGTTGGTCTCCAGTGCGTAGCACGAGCACGCACGCATTCCACCACCGGCGGGTCATCACAAGGTTAATGTCGACGCTGCTATATGTAAACAACCTCCTGTCGGGGCCATAAATGCGGTTTGCCGGGATCAATCAGGAACTTTTGCTGGGTCAGCATCGGTGGTATTTCATGGCATGACCGATCTACATATACTGGAAGCTTTGGCATGCTGCGAGGCTATTGCATTAGCCAGGGACCTTGCACTTACTCATTTGGAGGTAGCTTCTGATTGCCTTGCGGTGGTCAAGGACATACATACTGGTACTATGGGTACAATCGCTCCAATTGTGGAGGAGATCATCGACTCGAGTAGGGAGTTTCAGTCTTGTTCTTTCGTCCATGAGAAACGTCTCTCTAATAAGGAGGCTCATGGCTTAGCTCGACATGCTTTACATTTAGGGGAGGGTCGCCATGTATGGCTGTTACACCCTCATGATACTGCTATTATTCCTGTAACTCGTTCTATTGAGCAATAAAGTAAAGCATGTTCTTCTCAAAAAAAATGAGCACGCACGCATGCGGCTCCGTGGCCAGCGTTAACACACACTAGATGACCAATTGCGCCACGCAAAGGCCGACAGCAAGCCAAGTATTGTAAGAGTGGTGATAGGAAAACTCAATCAAATAATGAACCTTATTGTCTGTTCAAGTGGAAGGTGGACGCTGCAGGTAGGGCATGCCTCTTCCTTGGTTAGCATATTTGTTGTTGGTGGTGAGTACTCGATGTTTGAAACAGAGAAAGTAGTAAAAACAAATAATTAGAGATAAGGATGGCATTATGCATATTAATAGATAGACGAGGAACAACAGCAGAGGTTATATAGGTAAAAACATAGGTGGTAGCTATTCAAAAGCAACAGATAGCATCAACAAAAAACAGGGGAAGGTTGCATCCTATTACAGAGCTTGATTAGTAGTCCTTAGAATGCTAAATGATATTTAGATACGACTTCCGTTGCTGTCGATGGTTCATCTAAAGGCAATGCACGATGAGAACCAGGCGTTGCTTTGTGGTGACCTTGAAACGAAAAGCACAGATATCTCAACTCCTTCATGGATTTTTGCAAGGCGGCGGAACTTAGACCAGTTGGTTGTTACGGTGGCTCTCTTGCCGGTTCCTAGCATGATGCGACAATTGGCGTATAGATCACTGTTTGCAAGCCTGACCTTGAGTGTATCATAATCTGGGTCAATGTAATCTTTTAGTTTGCTTTCAGTGTAGTGGACCTGAAAATACTGATGAGGAAAAAGGAATTAATTGAATGGATTGGAGAGTGTCTTGTCACTGAGAAGGTTTAAATATAGATAGTGAGAACAATTATCCGTAAATAATGGCAGGAAGCAAAAGAAGGGTGCAGAGCATGCTACACTCCTTCCTATGTGGAGTATAAGATGTAAATTGGTTTTTTCGTATGTATGGTACTCTAGTGAAGGAGAACAAATATAGGAAGAAAGAAAACATGTACATCAGACTATATGAATATTAGTTTCTAAAGTTACACGTAGCAAGTTGATGAGAATTGTTGTGCTGGTGCTAATAGCAGTGTATACAATTTTTTAATATTTCGCAATAAAGTCAAATTGGTGAATCAAAAGCATATTGCAGGTTGTACTTCTGATGATTAGTCAGGTAAGTAGTTTAGTTGTGAGGCATAAGTAAAGATAATTCTTTTTTCAATGAAGTGGAAGGAAGGAGTTTACCATCCCTTGGCCTGGCTTTACGAATGTTTTGTTGATGGTGCAGACATAGTATTTGGTATTTGGCTTTTTGCGGCCGAACATGGAAAACAACTTCTTCACATGGTGCTGATAGAGCTTCACTTGGTTGCCCTAGTGCCAGTACCTTTCAAGCTCTCCGCAGTATTGGATAGCAGGGGGTGACCCTGAATTTAGTTTCGTTTTGGTAAGATCGAAATGAAGCAGCACATGTAAGAAGGCTGAATACTATTTATTGTTAGGAGACTAAGCTTTCATCAAGAGAAAAGTAGAATTAAGCTTTTAAACCTATGGCGGGAAGAATATAGTAAGCAGGTTAGTTAAGTTGAGCATTATTGATCAGCCTGATATATGTTTTTTCGGTTCTAAGGCGGAAAATTGGCGTCGGAGAAGTATAGCAGATCATAAACACTATGAGGTCATTTTATTTTAAATGAAGAATATCAGAACAGGATAATAAGCATTATAGCCTGGCATTGGCTCACTGCAAATGATATACTCCGGATGCTCATATTCTTCACCCTGTATAAGTATCGTGAGAACTGTTAGTGCGAGAAATCAGAAACTTGTTTGCTGGCAATAGCAATTGTGGGCGTACAGTTAAATTATGCACTACCTAATGTAAATGACTGCATATCCTGGTTACCGTAAGCTGAGCGATCAAAGCTATCTATATGGTGCATCTCTGCCTATGTAGCTTTGCTTATCATGAACATATCTCATGCCTTTCTTTTGTCCTATGAACCTACCATGCAATGTAATATATAACGCTATGTATGAGCAGCATACCAAAATATCTATTCCCTTATGCTTCAAGGATTTTATGATCAGTCTCTAAATATTCTTATTTGCATGCTTTGAAAACATAGTTTTCTCTCGCCCTTTGCGCCATCGGCGCAACGAGTGCATCCCAGAATCCAAAGGTTCATTTTTACATGGCAGTGTTTAACATTTAGCTCCCTTTTTACCCGGCAGTCTGACAAATTTGCTTCTTTTTTAGCTCCATCTTATGATTCAAAATGCAAAGAAAAAAATGCCCAAAACATTGGAGGCATTGAGGCAATTGTTGTCTCATATCTAACAGCATATGCCAATTGGTCACAAGAGGTTTATAAGTTGAAACTACCTCAATCTAAATGGAGTAAATTAGCCTTTATAAAAGTGGTAAGAAGTAATTTGCGCTCTTTATAGCTTGGATCTTGTGCTTATACATCAAATATATCACAAATGAACCCCAGAAAAAACATAGCACTGATGAACACAGTGTGATGCATCTACAGAGTTTATACAACTACCTGAGATAAGGCAAGTTACGTTGCTTGATATTTCAAGTTTCTATAAGGGCATAATGTAGCAAAATCAAAACCTACCGATAGGCACCATTTGCATATATAGGGTTTATACAACTACAGAGAACTGAAATAAAGCAAGTTCGGATATTTGATTTTTCAAGTACAGCAAGGGCCAAATTTAGTAGAACCTTGTAGAACCAAAAGTATACGACAAAGCAACAGTCAATCAGTTGTGAGTAATGAACTAACTGACAGTTCATTTGCATATAAAGGGTTTATACAACTACAGAGAACAGAAATAAAGCAAGTTCAGTTATTTGATTTTTCAAGTACAGCAAAGGCCAAATTTAGTAGAATCTAGTAGAACCAAAAGTATACGACAATGCAACAATCAATCAGTTATGAGTAATGAACTGACAACTCAATATATTCATCTAAAATGAAAGAAGGGTTTAGGGGAACCAATATTTAGGAAAAAGTGTC